TTCAGTTTCTACCACCTTTGATTAGGTTACAAGAGCTACTAGAAAGTGAAGGGCTACTTGGTTGTTTTTCCTCCATTTTCTGGTACCATGTCTCTTAGAACTTACCTTTCACTTTTCCCTAATAAATTAGCAAGTGGATATAACTTTATACTGTAGACAATTTCAATAAAAACTGAGATTCTTTATTCCTAAGCAAAAAAACCCCACATTTTTCTTGAAAGATTTCAGAAGGACCAAATTCTCAAATATTTTATTTAGCACTCCTCAGGGGATAGTCCTTCCTTTGGTAGATTTATTCACTAATACCTGGGTTAACACTGATGTGCTTTTATGCTGAGGTTAAATGACATGGTTGCCAAAACTTCAGCCTAGGGTGGGTGTTCATTCATATGGGTCAATTTACATTATTCTCTTGTCCTCTATCCATTATAACTTAAATCTTGAGTTGCTTCTTTAAGAGTCATTATTGGCATAAGATTTGTATATTTAGGCACTCATATTGACTTGAATTTTATACACACAAGGGAAGAAATAGAACAGATCATACCCATATCCTTAACAACATTTTATTTCTGCCATTTGATTTATATGTTTTATCAGGTTTCTTTCCAAATGGCAAAATGTTGTTTCTCTCTCCTATTGATTCTAATCACTTTGATATATTATTTTAAGTCAACTAAGCTTTTGGAGTTTGCCATTTATAGCAATATGAATATGAACTAAACTTCTATTTCTTGTGCTCAAAAAACCCTGGAGAATCAGAGCATAGTTATAATATGTTTTGTTGAAATACTGGGAGACTCTGGCTTTAAAGTTATTTTTTTAAAGATTTTATTTATTTATTTTAGAGAGAGAGCACAAAGTGGGGAGAGGTGCAGAGAGGGAGGGAGAAGCAGAGGGAGAGAATTTCAAGCAGACTCCATGCTGAGTTTGGAACCCAACACTGGATCAATCTCACAACCCTGAGATCATAACCTGAGCTGAAACCAAGAGTCAGGTGCTTAACTGAGCCACTCAGGCACCCTGGCTTTAAAGTTATTGAAGACATTTTATGTTCTGTATTGTTTCAGAATTAAGTAAATTTTATGGTGTTCTAATTCTCACAAAAAGAAAATCAGTTGGTAATAAGATCTTATTACTTGGACACGGCAGTGCAACATAAATTTTCTATGAGAAAGGACAAAAACAAATAAAGTTAATGCAGGAAGGTGAGTTTGTATGTGTGATTCAAACATAGTATGCATCCAAATTTTAATAACTGAAAACAGGAAGACCCTGAAAAAGAAAAAAAAAAAAACTTAAAAAGTTACAGAATGCAGTAAGTATCTCTAGATATATTTCAGGATGCCAAGTAAGCAAATGTTCAACCTTTCTGTTATTTAATATGCATATTTCTAAAATTTATATTCATCAGCATTATATATTGTTGCTCATACCTAGAATTAATCAAAATCTGAAATGAGGATAAATCATTTTTTATGTTGAAGAAAATCAGATCTGCTTTAGAAACTTCATGTGTACAAGGCTCAGAGTAACACCTGCTTGATAAAGATACACTGCATTATCAAAGACTAAATTTACCAGGACAAGGAAAAATTAAAACAAGCAATCTAGTGTTATTCTGGAATAACCTAAGAGAAATAGCGACCAATGAAAAAAGAATCATAGAATGTTAATGCTGAAAGAGAGCTTGAAGTTTTCTATTCTTGTTAACATCGTCAATTTCCTGAAATTAAAGATAAAGCACTTGCTTTAGAATGCACCCTTACAAACTAGAACAATGAAGGTTAAGATAGAGATGGAATTTGGAATTCAAACAGAAACAGGAGACTGGAGGTAGGAAATATAGGAGAGAAGCCACAAAATCTGTGCTAGGATACGTCAGCTGAAGGTCTGAAATAAATCGCTGATAATACTATATCTGTGCTGTTCTTTCTCTCCAGAAAATAAAAAAAAAAAAAAAGTGCTAGCTTGTTCCCTATGGGACATGACCCCTATACCAGGAAAGCATCCTGAAGCTGTTCCTAATGTATCTTAGTGCTCTTATTATCCAAAGATCAACAAATTTACCCTGTGTTTGGCTGAATAATTGTAATACTACTTTTTGGAGAAGTAACAAAACAAAACAAAACAAAAACCTCTCCTCTTACTAATGCCTTAATTCAGAGTAATTTCATTGCACTTCTAAACAGAATCAGCCTGTCACTAAATCTGAGAACAGATCCTTTCCTGTTTACAGAAAGCAGAAAGGCCCCGGTCTTGAAAAGATGGTAGAGAAGGAAGTGAACTGGGTGAGAGAAACAAGGTGCAAAAAATAGTCCCAAATCCCTGAAGTAAAGTATGCTTTTGCATGGTGTTGACACTCTTTATCTTGAACCATATACAGACAAATGGACGTTTTTGTGCCGAGAGATTTTTCTCATGAGCAATCAGAGCGGGCACAGCACTCCGCTTAAACATTCCTTTCGATATAAGGAAATCCACCAGTTGATGAAAAATTATTCATTTTGATTGTTCTCTCGTACAAGTAACTTTTTCATACAATACCTTCGTTTTCAGAAGGCCGATGGCCTGAGCCTTGATGGCATTCAGAAAACTTCTAAGGAAAACTTTGGTTCTATGAGAGCCAAATATCCTTGTGCTTTAATACCAAAGACTTGGGTTTCTGTTAAGAATCAGAAGCATGCAACCATGAGCAATGTTGAAGAGGGATGAAATTACCAAAGTTTCCAGCAGTGTCTCAACTTCTGGTGGTATAGGGAAAGTAATCTGCTTTTCAGTCTCTGTAGAACAAGATTTGCTTGAGTGCTTTCTGGCATGCTAGGTCTTCCCCTTTGTGTATAGTATGCATGATTTAAAAGAAGCAGTGTCAGCACTGACTTATACATTGACAGCTAAGGATAATAAGATATGGGCAAACATACAGCTCACCCTTTTACAGATTAACCTGGAGACTGCATTAGGCAAATTTGATAGCATTAAAAGATTTTGCCAATTTGTCTGGAAACAATTTCTCTTTTGTGGTGTGTCAAGGGTAACACTTCATGCCATTGTACTAATTTAAATGGCTTTGATAAATTGTTCAAGAGGTTAGAGAATAGTAGTGTAGATATATATTTAGCACTTTAAAATAAAAAGGCTGTTAACTTAATTGTTAAAAGAATTTAATCTGTAAAAATCAAAGTGCTCAAGAATGTAAGTGTTTTCTTGGAACCACAGCAGCCATATTACATCATGAAGCTTTAAAAGTCTTCCTAGAAAATAAAATTATCCTTCTGCATTACTTCCTAATAAGTAGAAATGCTTAAGCTATTACAGTAGCATGGATGGTACCTATTATTTGGGGAAAGCCTTAGTTTATAAAAGCAATAGAACCATATCTTCTCCAGAGTTGGCCTTTTTTTTTTTTTTTTAAATGTTGCAGGTCCTAGATTGTACCATTTGCATGACATCAAGGTAGTCTGTGTCCCCTAGAGACCTTCTTAAAAATGAGATGTATATTTCATGAGACATTCCCTATGTACATAATTTCTAAAGTAAGGATTTTGAAGAAGCCCCTCTGAAAGTCACTGGATTAAATCATTGCACCTTTATTCCATAGCCTTGTGAGAGAAACAGCTGTTTTACGGGAATGTTGAAACAGTACTTTAAGAATACACCTCAAACGTGAATTAGCCTTTTTGGTGAATTTCGCACTTGAAACGAGGACAAGATTCATTTGTATTATGATCATAGTCTGAGCCCTGTACATCCAATTCCCTCCCAATGCATGGAGAACTGACAATTCACCTATTTCATCAAACATTTTGTTTCTGTCTCAAGTGAAGCCTTAAAATACTTTTCTTTACTGGAATAATAATATTGCTAAGCATCAAGCTACTAGACTTAAACAACAACTGCTTATTTGTTTAAAAAAAAAGAATTTAAAATAATATAAAGATAGAACATGTAGGATTTAGTACTTAGCTGTTTATTTCAACCAAATAAATAGGTCAGCCTGGATAAAGAAAATTGTAATTCTGAAAACAAGCGGCAGGAACAAACTGACTTAACCAAGTTTGGAGTAACTTTGTCTTTTCATCTTTGAATTATAAAAAATGAGTGCTCAACTACAAGAGAAGATTCATTTGTTGGCATTTTGTACTATTTAGAAGGAACTGATAAAGGTTTTACACTCTTTAGCATAGATTGGTGTAGTGTTTTAATGATGTTGCTGCAGTATGCGTTCTTGCGTTTGCAGCTAAAATTAACATCTTTGAGAAAAGCAAAAAGATTAATTTCTTAATACTTTATAACTTATTTTCTGGAAATTTGGAGAGTTTCTTAACTGGAAGTATGCCATATTTACAATGCAGGGAAATCACATGTAAGGACACACGGTGCAAATCATGGATATTAAGCAAAGCGTAATGCAGAACAAGGGCTCGCTTTCTAAAGGGTTTTCCTGGTTGGGAATAGCAGGGAGGTACGTGGGACTTCATTTCTCTCTTGCGATTGGGAGTTCTCGAAGGAAAACTGCTTTTAAAAGAAGAAAACCTAAAAGTAGTCTTGCTCTTTCTTGCCAAGGATGGTGAAATTAACATGCAGCTGGGCGTCTCTGATAAATGGATTCTGTTAGGTCACTGAGGGGGTGCATGTGACATTAAGTGATTTACAGTCCTTTACCTTAATGAAATTGTTTCAGCAAGATGACGCTGAAAGCTCTTAATGGATAGCTTTTCTTGATGTAATGAAATTGCATTCCTATGGCATTTAATATAAGGCACAGTTATTATTTACTGGAGCTTTCCAAGGGCTGCTATTTGCACAGACAGTTCAGAACAAAAAGAGATCTCAGTCGCAGTACGGAGGCCAGAATGGCTTGTGACATTCTTAAGCAGTATTTGTGACAGCATTTCAGTTCCTGCAGCCAGGGCTTCCTAGACCCATCAGGGGACTTCCTTTCACCCAACCCAGATAGTCTTCAGCCTTTTACATATATTCTTCTAATCTGTTTACAGGCAACTGGATTACAACCAGATCAGCTGTATTGAAGATGGGGCATTTAGGGCTCTGCGGGACCTGGAAGTGCTGTAAGTGTTGCTTCTCTCTCTGACTCTTTTGAAAACGGGAGCTTTGTGTCCGGGAGTGCTGATGGGGGAGCTTATCCGCTAGCTCAAAACCTGTGTCAGGATGGTCTCTTAGGAAGATACCTTAAATCACTCCTGGGGAATATACAGAGAACTTGAAATGTGTGTGCACACAACCGTGGGCATCATTTCTGCATGTTTAGGTAAAAATGTCTCTTAAGGGAGAACATTCAGTTGTTCACACTACTGTCCTGTACGTGTTTCTCCTTATAACAAAATATTTTCAGTCATAGGATTTGTGAGAATGCCTAGAATTGCTAAATATTAAGATTTAAGATCAGTTGTGTCAGAAAAATGACAACAAAAAAATAAAACCTCTTTAGTCGCTGACAAGTTGGAATATTGTGTAGTTGCCATGCAATGGGAAAACGTTTTCTCGTTTTGAGATGTCACTTGTAACTGGATAACATCATTTTTGAAAGGTGATTTTGAGATCTGTTTTCTAATTTTAATAAGCTGCCCACTGGGTCCATTTTAAAGTCTTCACTACTGACTCAGTAAAGCACAGCACTCAGCTCCGAACTGTAACTGGCATCCTCCCTTTCCTTGCTGGGTAGGCATGGCTGACAAAAATGGGTTAGAGGCAACTGAGTAATCTCTACAGACCTTTGACTTGGTAAAATAATCTTAATGAAGTTATTCTAATGAAAAATAATTTTAATGTAAACTGGAGTTACTAAAGTGTTTGAAATCGCCTATACATTTGTGGGATTTTTTTATTTTTCCAGCCAGAGATTCACCAGTCTAGCTTTTAAAATAAATTTGCAGATTTCTATCCCAAAAAAAAATATTTTTCTCTGCTATAATTCATCCCTGACTAAATTTATTCAGAATCCAAAATTGAATTAAATGTGAAGAGGTTTTGAATTTTGAGTCCATGTGGTAAAAATTATCCAAGAATCATGAAATCCTCCTGGAAAAAAAAAAAAAGATTCCATTACTTTAAAAATTGAGTTTGAGCTACAGAATGTAATACTGAAAAAAGTTGGATGTTTTGACAAAACATTATTGATTATTTTTAAGGACTTAACATAAGAACTAGTTGATTGAGATAAACTGTTATAAGAACATATATCATTGTCTATCCACATGACAAGTCACCTTTATTTCTGTTGGTAACAGTCTAATTTTTTCTCTAGGGAAAACATTCAGAGTGCTTACCATAAACATTGTAGTTACAAGGCCACTTTTTATTTGTGTGCCAGACCCATTCATATACAAAGCTCACTTTGCTATTTCAGAGTCAGAATAATGAGGATGCAACTACGGTTTCATGATAGTAGTCTGATGTCAAAACCATAGTCAATGTCGTAAACTTGGTATATGAAGAGACTACCATGGGTGTTATTTAATTGAACGGATCTTATCAAGCCAAAAATGTATTACCAAGTCAGTACTTCTAACTAGGAATAAGAGCGACACCAAAAATCTTATAGAAAATTTGCTGAATACTTTGCATGGACTAAAATCCCATAAAGTATTTTGTTATTAATTAAAAGAGCTTATTAGATATGAAATAATGCATATACATAATATATTGAGTATATATTGGGTATATATATATATATATATATATACATATATATATATATATGTATAAATATAGAGAAAGAGAAAGAGAGAGAAGGGGGAAGAGAGAGAGAGATACATACACACAGAGCACCTGCTTTGTGTCAAACACCATGCTGGATACTGAAAACTCTTTACCCACAAATACAATAACTATTCATTTGATTCATCTGCTTATTTGTTATAGAGTAATATCACTGTTTTTAGATTTAGTAAGCTCATGAAAACAAAATCACTGCATATATTGTGTTTGTCATGTTAAAAAGGTGACTTGAAACTACTATCTTGAAACACACCAAAGAGTGAAAATTGTCTTATGATTCATGGAGTTAAAATCAAAATCCACAAGTTTGAGAATTCTTTTGAGGACCTTAATATATAGGTTTCAAAGAGATATATAATGGTCAGAGTTTACTAAAAATAAATAATTAAAATTAGTACATGATACAAGAAAATGTGCCATTTGAAATGTCTTAAATATTTTATATTAAAATTTGATAGTCAAGCAGACATTCTTTTAATATGTATTAATTTTTAAAATCCTCATAGTTCATACAACCTTTAAAGAAATTAATTGATGAAAAATTTAAGGCTGACTCGAGAAAGCACTCAAAAGACTGGGATTTATCAAGCCCAAGTCTCTTGTCAAGTAAATCAAAAAACTTCTTCTGTTGTAAACATTTGGTTGGGGGCTTTTTTGATAGAAGGTTCCAGAAAGAATGTCTATTTTGCCTATTTTTACCATGTATGACTCTTTACAATATATATTCTTGAGTGGAGCTAATGAAGCATTAATTAATTTGCAAATCACCTTAAATTTAGAGTCCTAATGCTTCAGGGGTTTTTTGTTTTGTTTTGTTTTGTTTTGTTTTGTTTTGTTTAATTTTGGTTCCATGAGCCATTTGTGAGTGTATGGATTACACTGAGGCAAAACAGGAAAAGATGGAAGTGATCATCCTGGGCCACTGATGAAAATTTGTTAAGATATTTATTAGGGTACGGAGAGTGAATAAAGTTTAAGAAGGAAAAGTCCAGGTAAATGAAAGCAAGGGTAGGCTGTTTATCACTTGTATGTTCATGGAACCTTGGCAAATTGTGGAATTCTGATTGACATGATTCAGTAATATTTATTTTAAAAAAAGCATATCTTCTTAATATGAAGATATCACAAAAATAACATTGGAACTATTTTGTTTTCTATTTCGGTGTTTTCTATTTCTTTGGACAGCAGATTCAGAAATGAAATATATTCCTTAGGTTGCTAGTTTTATATCTTTTTTGTTCCTTTTCCATAAAATAGGCAAAATTTTATTTAATTGAGATGTAGAGGTTCATATCCATAAAATACCAGACTCTCTGCCAAATACTATCCTGAGCATGAAGGGAATAAGAAAAGAATAAATCAAGAGCTAAGTCTGAGAGGACCTACATGATTACCAAGACTCACATTCTGTGTTTACACATAAAGCTATCCTTTGTACAAGAATATATTCTCATTGCAAAGAGAAAATCTTGAAGTTGAAGATAGAAATACACTCTCATATAGGTGAAAGTGTTCACAAATAAAGAAGTACAATAGACAAATTTGCATTGTTTCGCTGTAGGAATTGATCATGACCATAAAAAATACATTACACCATACATAATTAACACATATTAATTACTAAGTTTAAAATAATTTCATTGGTTCCACATATGGCTCCATTACCAGGCATCAATATCAATATTGTTTTGCCAACATCAATATTGAATAAAAAATACTAAGAAAGATAACATTTCTTCGGTTGTGTTATGCAAAGTAACATTGTGATAAAAGACTCCAAACTTGGAAGCAGTATCAGCATTCAATGAAAACTCGCTTTGGTACGGAATCGTAAGAAATTACAGTTCAAAATTAATGCATGTCTGCTGCAAGTGAATTACTTAAAAAAAAAAAAAATGTTATCCCTGAAGTCACATTGCAGTATGTTATGTACTCTAAAGAGTTTAGCCATATAAAGTCAGCATAAATTTTGAGGGTGGGAAAAGGGGTCATTTGAAAGCAAATCCCTTTGAGAAGTGAAACCTTTTAGTTCAAACATCAGGATATATTTTAATAGCGTTTGAAAAAAAAAATCTCATTTCACTTGAGCACAGAAAATGCTACGGGCTTTTAGATAACATGAACCAACCAATTCAATGCTTTGTAGGTCCTTCATAAAGTGTTTTTTTTTTTTTCCTTATGTAACTTAATTCAAATCACTTGGATTAGTTCTTCTATCATTCAATACATTGCAAAGCTGGGTAGGAAAGAAAGTCTGCCTGTTGTAGCTCTGTAGCCACTGTGCCCTACTTTGCCTAGAAGTCTAAGTGCCCCCTGTGTACCCCAAATCACACCATTAACAACTGCAGCCTCCAGCTGGCCAGAAGTAGCCTCACAAACCTATCTCGCTCAGTCCAAACAGACTCAGTCCATGGACTCTTTGAAATATCTGAATTTGTTGCCAGTATTTAAAACTTGGGGGGATAAAGGCATAATTTCCCATTTCTGGCTTCTCCTAAGAAAATCCAATTGTTTGGCAGCCTTCCATTACATCAGAGCAGCAACGCATCAGAGCTGAGTTTTAGCTGCTATAGCACAGAGTATCATTACTGTCTTACCAAGGTCTTCCTCGTCCCCAGCTCTCTGCCTGCTCCTCTCCATCTCTTGTCCTCATTCTGTGTCCTGTTACTGTATATACAACCTGTTTCTCTCCATTTATGTTCCCTGCCTGGCTTACACTGGCAAGAGAATTCACCAAATCTACTCCAGACCTGTCTCCATTATTAAATGGTATCCACTGGCCATTGATCCCGTCCTCTTGCCTCCTTCAGCGGCTTGCATGATTTCCTTACCCCACCATGCTGTTTTCTCTATACGAAAATTGTTTTCCATCTTTGCACTGCACAATCACAGCCCTGGGGTAGTTGTCTTGTCCATTTCTTGTCATAGACAGACTTCTCTGAAGGGCGGGGGGTGGGGGGGACCTCTTCTTAACCTTATTAACTCTAAGTTTTTATAATTTGTGTATTTCATCTCCCCAGTTGGGCTATATGCTACTTTAAGACAGGTTTTATGCCTGATTTATTTTTATACCATTCCATGTTGCCCTAACGTTAAAAACCCTTTAGGAAATACTAGATGAATGAACTGTTACTGGTCATAGTAGAAATGGTCAAAATAATAACAAACAATGCCTGTGTTAGGGGGAAAGTAGGAACAATTTTTAATTCTTTTTTTTTTAAGATTTTATTTATTTGACAGAGAGAGAGAGAGAGAGAGATCACAAGTAGGCATAGAGGCAGGCAGAGAGAGAGGGGAGGAAGCAGGCTCCCTGCGGAGCAGAGAGCCCGATGCGGGGCTTGATCCCAGGACCCTGAGATCATGACCCGAGCTGAAGGCAGAGGCTTTAACCCACTGAGCCACCCAGGCGCCCCAGTAGGAACAATTTAAACCAAGCAAGAATTGTGCTATTTTCACCATCTCTGCCTTGACCACCCATCTTCCTGACTCTAGCATCAAGAAACCGTGATCACTACCACACCACAGTTAGCAAAGGACAAGATATGTGCCTGCCACATAAAACTGTTAGAATGTATCAATAAACTGCTACAGCCTGACATTTTATCCCTATCCAATGCAAATCCCAAGTGCAGATATCATTCTTGCTACTCAGATTTCAACAGCGGCATGGCCAATGTCCACAATAAAGAATACTTAGCAGGACTCTTTGGGAGATTTCAAATATCTTCATTTACTGATACCAATTACACACAGTGCCCCTCTAAGGAAATCCCGCTGCCCGATTTTACTGACTGTTGAATATCTCGTGTTAGTTCCTTAAGCAGTGTCATAAATACATAATCATTCATGCACATGGTGCAAAGGGCAACATGTGAATAGTCAAAAATATAAGACAAATCTGTCACAAATATTTGATAAAGCTGAAAGCATAGAAATATGTTGACGTATAACATTTATTTATTGTCTTGTTTAAAATATAGGGCATTCCTTATATTATTACCTTTCTACCACGTAGTTGTCCTGCATAAACATAATCGCATTGTCTCTCTATTAATATATAGAATGACCAATGAATTTGCATTACCTGAAATGTCTAACTTTTTTTTTTTATTATTCTGCAGCACTCTCAACAATAACAACATTACTAGACTTTCTGTGGCAAGTTTCAACCACATGCCTAAACTTAGGACTTTGTAAGTAGCCACAATATATATCTAAAGGTCAATTTAATCAATTAAGGGTTCCCCTAAAGTACTGTTTTTTGTAAACAAAGAACAGAATCATGAGTTCATTACAGGGTAGAGAAGGAAAACACCACATTTTTAAAAAGTGCTAGATGTGATGTTTGAATAAATGAACTATCATTCTAAAAACATGAAAGCTTTCTTTTCAATGATATGCATCGTGGGAAGTTGGGGGAGAGGGAGACGTTTACTTAGAGCTCTTGTGGAGGTCACATTTCATTAAGAAATGTAAGACTCCTTGATTGGCTGTCAGAAATGATAAATGGTAAATCTTTATGATTTTATTACTGTACAACAAGCAGACCTAATAAAGCTGAACTGGATCTCCTACATTCTTTGTAGTGTAAAATTACAACATAACTCTCCAGTCCTTCTGTAACTAAGATTGTGGCAAAATTTGTATTTAAAAATATCTTTTCAGAAGATGAACATTAAAATATTTTAGGTGAATAAAAACTTGTTCTCTCATAATGTATTTGCTGCAGCTATTTTTTTTTTCCTCTTGGAGGAAAATTAATCCTTAAAGCCCAGAGTGGGATAGTTAGTTAAAGCATTTTCAGAGATAAATCTCATTTGAACTCAGATTAAGAATCACCCTGGCCTCAAAAATACTATTTATACAACATGTGAGAAATAGTGGGAAATATAAGTAAAACATTGAACTTCTTGAAAAAAAAACAAATGTGTTTTTAAGTGGGGGATATATGTATGTTGGTTGGGTTTTCAAAATAATTTTCAGTTTATAATAGTTTATAACTGGAAATGTATTGCATTTATTTTTTCTCTTTAATGAAAAATCATTTGAATTGCCAGCTTTTTAATGATTTGGATAGTACCAATCTGAATGTCCTTTTTTTGGTCACTAAAATATGGTGTTCTATGTATGATACAACACATCATTATCATTTCTTTGGAATATGATTTAACAAAATAAAGGAATTCTGAAAGTATGCAGATATAACATAAATTCCGTTTTCTTGATGCACCTAACCTGACCAAGTGAATAGACCCGTTCACCCAAGACTATATTTGATGAAATTCATTGCTTAACCATTGACTTTAGCTAATTTTTTAAAATGCGAAATGAACAGGCTCCTAAGTGGCAGAAATGAGGCCACTGAGAATGTGGAAACATCTGTCATCTGCCTTTTGGATAGTGAGCTTTATTTTCCTATAGAAATTCGTCATAGTTTGTTTTGCTAATCAGGGTTTTAAAGTTTTATGTTCTTTTCTCACTTCAAATTTGCGCACATGGAATTGATTCATTGTAACGTGCTTGATTCAGATGAAAATGTTTCTAGAACAATGAGGTAGAGTGTGCTTCGTGGTTTCCAAAGGATGCCACTCTGACTTCCAGGCAAACTGAGCTGGAGGTCACCCAGCTTTCACAAAATGTAGCTTTTTGTTCTGGGCAGGCCGTCTAAGTTTTGATGCAAGACAGTCTGTTCCATATCTTACAGGCTCAAGGAGAATGTAAAACAGTCATCTAACCTGAAATTCCCTTGCTTTGGTTGTATCATTATTCTGTATTATCACTGCTACTTAAAAATTCCATTTTTATGGTCCAATTATCTTTCTGGACTGAGTTCCATGTTTTAATATCCATTACTGTTATTGGGTTAGAATTGAGCACATCAGCTAAAAAGGACTAAAATGGTATTACTGTGTCATAGATGATTCTGGAAATGATGCTTTGATTTATAGCTTTGGATGTCCTTTTCTTTAGTTTGAGAAAACATAAAAGCCAATTTGAAGTCATTTACCTAATTTAGTGGATACATTTGTCTGATATTTTATTAATGGAAAAGTGCTATTTGCCACTTGGAATGGATCCATGGTCTGGTGTGGATCCCTGCCAACACAGAGAGGGGGGCTCACTTAATTCCTTCACTCCCAGCCATTTATGTCTTTTCATTTCAGTTCCTGCTCTTTGAGGATAGGGTCCCAAGAGCCGAAAGCAGCTAATCCCTTTTTCTGCTTAAACAAAAAGAAGGAAATCAGAATAGGGACATGAAAGAAGTATTTTATATTGAATTATTATTCTATCTTGTTCAGCAAAAAATGAAAGTGACCTGCTAAAAAGATTTTGCAAGCAGTTCCTCCAGAAACTAACAACAGCAGGAATAAGGGATTATTCATACTGGGAGCAGTGACTTTTATGAACATACCCCCACCCCTGCCCCACCCGTCACCTCCCCTTTCCCCCCACCCCACCCCAACTGGCTGTCAGTATGTTGGGACTGCAAAGCAATTTGCCTTGGACATCTCTGTTTCTTTTTACTCTTTTGAGTGAACAGAGGGAAATCATCTTTATGGTCATGTTCAAGCTTCTGGATGTTGGCTTAGAGGTAAATGAAGAGAGACTCCATTCTGCAGTTGTACACCAGTTTAATGTTGAGAAAACGAATTAGGTCGGGACTTCCTTAGCTTTGTCTACTGATATTTTAAGAAATAAAGCTGTAGATTATTATGAAGACTCTTTTTTTCAATATTCAAAGTAACCGTTTTCTGTTTTTCTTGCTTTAAACTTGTCTCTTTCTTTTCTAGTCGACTGCACTCAAACAATCTCTACTGCGACTGCCACCTGGCCTGGCTGTCTGACTGGCTGCGCCAGAGGCCCCGGGTGGGTCTCTACACTCAGTGTATGGGCCCTTCCCACCTGCGGGGCCATAACGTAGCTGAGGTGCAAAAACGCGAATTTGTCTGCAGTGGTAAGGGAGAAAGAACCTTTACGTTGTCGTCTGATTTTACGCTGCCGTGTCGGAGAACTGTGGAGAATGCATGCTCTCAGAGTTTCCGTGTTGCTCACTAACGCGTGCCGTCGTGCACTAATCACCCCATGGACGTCCTCTGTTTTAGCGCTGTTGAGAATAGGTTCTAGGATGTGTGTGATTGGCAAGGACAGGTTCCTCTGAAGTGAGGATGGAAGATTTCTCAATTTTCACTCCTGGGCACCTCTAGGAAATTCCTAGACTTTAATTCTGTTTGCTGCTTATTTTCCTGTTAAGTAATAATGTATGCCTGCTTTTCTGCTAATGATTGGAAATATGGTTAATCCTGGATCCCTGCTGGGAAATTTAAAAAAGTAGCTCGACTGTAGTTGCAGAGTGACAACATACTTTTCGTGAATACTAGTGGTTCACGTCTACTCTAAGAGATAAACGACTAGCTTTAGTGATGAAAATCTGGAAACAAAAATAAGGCACAGCCTATATAAAAATTTCAGGAAGTCACATTCACTTAGTTCTTTCTATATGTTCGAGCTCCAGTCTAGGTATTTCTCATATATGTACCTCATTTCACCTCCCTCATCACAACTGTAGTGAAATATAATATTATCTTACTACTAGAGATGAAAACGCTGAGAAAAAGATGTTAAGTAGCCTTATCCAAGATCACACAGCTGAGTCTAGGCATCTCAACCTAGGCAGATTACCAATGCATATATATTGATATTTATGCTTATATTTATATTTATTTATAAAACAATATATTAAAAGTATCTGATACATATTGACATATATCTTATTTTATAAATACAAGGCTGGTTCTTCTTCAGAAGTGCCTGTTCAAAATACAATAACACAAAATTTTGAAATATATATAATGCGTCACAAATAGTTCCTTAAAGGAGGCACAAGAAGAAGTACTAGCAGAAGATTCTGATTTAATGTTGTCTTTTAGAACTTTTTATGTACTTTTCCACACTTTTTATAACCCAGACAAAATTTTCTTATAATGTCATGGAATGGGAATGTTCTCTTCAGATCTGATTGCTTTTTAAAAAATTAAATAATGCAATGACTAACAGTTCGTTACTAACCACTTTTTTCTCTCTTCACTTTTCCCTTCCTGTTTTCTAGATGAGGAAGAAGGCAAGTTCACGTTTCTTTTTTAGACTGAGACCAATTTTTGTAAAGTTTGACAGATTGTTCTGAGGGCTTGGGTTAGTAAAGAGTGTGCAGCATCTTCCTGGTGTCCATGACCGCTCAGGCCCTCTCGCTGCAGATCAGAGAGGGCTGTCCCCTTGCTCCAATAGCCAAGTGTGTGCAGATGCCCATGCCTACAATACAACCCACATTCTGTTGTTCGTCATTCCAACAGCCAAAGCTCATTTCCAAACAGCTTTGTTTCCAAATACTGAGTCATAAAAATATATGCCTGCAGGTAACTACTTAATGTTAACATTGTAGAACAGGCCAAGCTGAATAAAAGAACTGTCTAGATTAATAATTACAGAATGGCATGTTACAAATTATCATAATAACTTCAAAGAAAGCACAAATGTTGAACCTCTCAAGACATCCAACTTAGCAAGATCTGATTTTCCCCACATTTATTGGTGCATGATTACTTATTTAGAATCAACAGTTACACTTTTCAAGAGGAAAATGTTACTGTTTCCCTTTCTTTTCTTTTCTTTTCTTTTTTTTTTTTTTTTTTTGAGGGTAGAGTAAGTTACGCTACTTAAGTTTAATAAAGACCAAACTCTATTTAAGTTTATCAGAAATGAAATCTAGGTTAGTCTGAAACTGCTGCTTTTTTTGGAACTTGGAATAGTTTTGAATCAAATTCCAGTTTCAGGTCTGAGGTTAGCCTTTCTTAACAATTATTTCAAGTCTGAAAAATGATCATTTTCATAATTAGTTTTAAGAATCTCATTTGCTTCATCTGAGTGTTGACCTAGAACTATAAATGCATGCTGCCTAAAATGTATCTTAGCACTTGAGGACCAATTTTATGCTGAGATATTTAGAGAAATGTATTTCTGTTAAATAACGTGCTCTGTTGTTTGAGATAAGCTCATGTGTTTCACTATTCGCAGTTTCAGGAGGGAAAACATTGCTGTTTGTTTCTCTTGCAGGTCAGCAGTCCTTTATGGCTCCTTCTTGCAGTGTTCTGCACTGTCCAGCTGCTTGTACGTGTAGCAACAATATCGTAGACTGTCGTGGGAAAGGTCTCACTGAGATTCCCACGAATCTGCCAGAGACCATCACAGAAATGTATGTGCCCTGAAATTTCCTCTCATCTCTCCACCTCCATGGTGACCCAAACCGTGAATTTCTTTAGAGATTCTGGGTTTCTTGAAGGCCAATGGGATCAATTAGTTTAGACAAATACTCTTTTCAGAATTACATTGAGCCTGACTCTGCTTAATGAAATATCGTGCTGAAGGTGCTAGGGCTTTTCTTTTTCTTAACATAAGTAGAATTAAGAGGAATGTATTTGAAAGGATAAATCATACTTGTCCTTTTCTTGGGAAGGTGTTATTAGGGTATTTAGGAAAAAGAAGAGTGTGGCTGTACATAGTCTGACCATTTGAGTCTGTAGATCTGCCCCTCCTGTCCAAGTTTACCTTGAAGGGAGGAGATATTAGGAGGACCAAACTGGGGAAATAAATTATAGAATCAAGATAATGAGATGATGTTCTGCCTCCTCAAGAACTCGGGTTTTAAGATGCAGTTTCACTATTTTGTTTGAACTATTGTATAGTCTGCCAGAAGGTATAAAAAGAGTAAAATTGTAAAGTCAGAAAATAATTAGTGAGTATGTTAACCTATGTGAGCAGTGGCTATCTCTATCAAATTTGTTGTCTTGACAAAGTACTTCATTTTGTATGGAACTGCTGTGTGCATTTGTTCTTGCCAAATATAAGTCATGTGGGTAAAACAAGGTCATGTAAGATGTAAAATGAACTGCTTCTCCCACCTTGAGAAGTAAGCCTCAGGGAAAAATCTTTACTTCAATATCCATTAGCTAAGACAGCAATCCTTAACTGCTCAGCCTATCATGTTATTGTTTTAGAGGCCAATTCTTAAAGTTTAAATACATAGTTTTGGACATTTTAGGTTGAAATGATAAAATAAGCCTAACTTTTTGTATAAGTCTATGTAGTAGGCACAAAAATTAAGTTATTTTCAAAAACTATTAATTTTTTGCCCATTGGCTGCTTTAATTTGATTTATATGAGACTAACTTTAATGCACAAGACCACTAACATCATTTAAAGTATTTGATAGGTGTTTAAAAATATGATTAGAACTTTGTAGTATAAAACATGATTATCTGTAAAGAGTCTAGAATCTGTGGAGGTTTGACACAGACATGAAATAATGTATGCACATAATAATATTATCAAAATTTAGTTTTGTTCATCAAAGGCATTTATAAGTATCTTTTAGCTGACCTTTGGAAAAAGAATAATATATGGTTTTGGAAGAGGCAGGTGGCATTCCACAGAAGAGAAACATCAGGAATGAGAGACAGGTGGGGAACATGATGTTTTAGAGATTGCATATTTGAGCCTAATTAGAGTAACAGGTGCATGTTGGGGCATCATGGAAAATAATGCCTCAGAAAAGACATCTCTGTATAATTTTAGAGCCACAGATTAATGAAAGACTTTTGTCTTAGAAGATGTAATATATGTAATATATGATTAAATAGTAGGAAGATATAAAAAGATTTCAAATAGGGTAATAGTATATTCATCTATCCAAAGAGCATTTTTAAGTAAACACTTACTATAAGAAAGGCAGCATGAATTTTCCAGAGATTTTCCCATCAAGTGACTGGCAAATTTAATGAAAATTAAAAACTATGAAACGAGGTACGAATTAATGCATGTTGTAAGAGAGAAACAAATGAATTTCAAGGTAGCTATACACTCACTATCTGTGAGATTATAGGCAAGTTGTGTATCCTCTGTGAGCTTCTCTTCTCTTCAGAAACTAAGGGTTGTTATTAATTTGTGATGAAAAAACACACAAAGAGCTTTACATGCTTAATAAATAGTAATTCAGTAAGTGAGATACTTTCATCATTGAAGGCTTTGTGTAAGATGTAACATTTGAGGTAGGTCTTGAAGGATGGGTAGGGAATGGAAATGCAAAAATGAGGAAGGGGCTTTCAAAATGAATAGAACATCAGAAACATTGGCAATAAGAATGGAAATGTAAGACACAACCAAACAGGAGCTCAGTATAGATTTTGGAACCCGAGAGAGTGGAAAGGTAGTTTGGAACCAATTCATGGAGGGCCTTGTGTAGTATAAGGACCAAAGTCTTTATTTGGAATGCATTTGAATATAGGAATTTTCATCAGAATCTTCAAAGAATTCATCTGATAGCTGTGTGCCAGTGATTGGCAAAAGGACACTGCCAGGCATGAGACCTCCTTAGGTGGCTATCATGTTGACGGAGGGGAGATGTCATAAAAGCAGGAGCTAAGTAGCAGTGGGAATGATGGTGTGGAAGCAAGTATGGTAGTTAATATAGGAGCAGAATTCATGGGTTTGGGCATTTGGTGAAACAAGGGACTAATGGAGAAAAATGAACCAAAGATGAAGCCAGAATTTCAAGTATGAGGGATGGGGAACTGTTGGTGGTTTTATCATTGCATGTAAGAAGCTGAAGGACAGGACAAAACCTGGGAAAGGAGAGGGTAGTGAACAAAATGTGTGACATCCTGAGGTGCCAGTGGGATTTTTAGAGGTGATCAGATAATACAGACTATAGTAACTTGAAGCAAGACAAAGATTTAAGGTGAAGATTTTGGAGAAATTAATATTGTAAAATAAAAGTTGGTGGTTAAATCCATGAAATAGTGAATAGAAAGGAGGTGATAGAAGAGAAAGCCAACAGAAATAAGAGGAGCAAAGGGCCAGTGTGAGAGGGGAGGGGCTTAGTTTGGCTGAGAAAGAGTGTTCTGAAAAAAGACAGTTGTCACTCTAAAGGACAGACGTGGACTGATTTGAAGATGCAGAAAACTACCATCATTAGGAAGTCAGAGACAGTGGGTTTAGAGAGAGATGAGAATAGAGAGAGTTAGTAAGATCTCTATGGGAGCACAATCGTCCTGGACCCAGGAGTGGGTGGATTAAATCCCGATTATAAGAAAAAACAAAACACTGTGTCGGCTGACAAAAGAACAGTGAGTTGTAGATACAACAGACTGAAGGTAATGTGTGACATTTAAAGTAGTTTATCTCATGTATTCTATTTCATTTTTTACAACAGAGCGTTTCTTCTATTTTGTATGCTCTATAGATTTTGTATTATCATGAAATTTAGTAACATAAAAGTTATACTAAATAATAATGTCCCATTGGGTTTGCCTATATTGAGGAGGTGGTGTATCAGATAAAGCTACAATAAATTAAATTTATAAGTAGAGATGACAACATATGTGAAGCTCTAGGTGAATTTCACTTCTCTGATTATTACATTATCAGCTTTATCAGTAGAGCATCTGGTAATAAATCATATTGATCTTCAGCTCCAACAAAATACCCCATTACCATTCATTATAGTGGCATAACATACTAGCTTAGTAACTCATTTCCTTTATTACTCTTTTATTTTTATTAGTATAAAGAACATCAGATTCATAAAATGTGGAAGTAAAGCTGTACATCTTCTTTTTTCATTTTTATAGATATCAGTTTTTTAAATACATGATGAGCTGAAAATTACAAGCTCCCTCCATATTTTTCAAATAAGTTTTAATCAGAATTTTACCATAAATTATAAGTAGAATTTCTTTACTGCAATTTAGCAGATATTTCATTCAGTGCTATTTGGTTGATTTCCTTTTGTATGTGGCATGCCTTTATTCCTGCCACAGTCTCATAATATAATTCTAACAAAAAGAAAGTATGTATGTGCTACAAGTAGGAGTGATCTACTGCCTGTTATTCTAGGTAGAGAAATTTGATTCATCCTTTCCTTTCTTCTACGTTGTGCTTACAACCATAATTTCACACTTCTGGTACTTGCTGAAACAGTATTGTTAAGATAGACGGGAAATGTTTTTTTAAAGTTAGAATTGGAAAAAGGGGTAGGAAGAGACCGACATTTATCTAACAGTGTTGGATGCTGTACTCATATCATGTGACCTTCTCACTGATTTTTGATGTAGGTATTTATGGAAATAAAATACAACAAAAAAACTAATGCAGGAACGTAAGCTAGATAAATGTTGGTGGATTTCTCCAAGAAGTCTCATCACCCTGATGATTGTACAATGCACCAGGATCTGTCATCTCATTGGTAGGCTAGGAATCTAATTTTGACTGCACCTATTACATTTTGTTTATATATGTTTATATATATAAGCTTGTCATATATGTGCCATGTATGTGCCATGAAACTTCTACTGAAGACAGAGGCAGGAACTAGTTCTGTTCTGATCACCACTGAATACCCAGCAACAAATCTATTACATGGCACATAATAAGCAGTTGATAAATATAAAATAAGTTTTTATTGAGTAGGGCTGTGAGTTCACGCCCCACGTTGGACATAGAGCCTAATTAAAATACAAATAAAACATTTTATAAAAATAATAAAAGGATCTATCATAAAAAAAATTAAAAATAAAAACTAAAGGAACAACCCTTTCTCTCCCAGGAGGAAAAAAATAATGGTGCTTTTTAAGCACACAGTACGTAAGAGAAAAGTTCGTTAGTAGGATAGTTCATGGAAAGGGCTAAAATGGGCTATAAATACTTAAAATTCAGTCGTTAAGTTTGCCTATTCCCCATACTGGCTTGGATTCTACTCTCAACAGGTGTCTGAGAGCCCCTTTTTTCTCTGTTCTGGGCTAATCCAGCCAGTATCTAATGGGTGGCCTCCTTCTTTAGATACATTAATTGATTCAGTCATCCTACAGATAGGTCTTCGATGACTTCTTTCTCTAAGGCCATTATTTCTTCTGTAATGAAGCCTATAGGCATTTGCTCAAATCCCTCAAAGACTGACAATTTCAGTCTGCTGATTTTCTGTGTTTTTATTTCCTTAATGAGGTCAAAAATGTTAAGAAATCTTGTTTAAAGTGTTTCAGTCATGAAGTGGCTTAACTGACCTCAGTCTGAGATTTATTTGATTCTAGAGTTCATGTTTTTTCATTGATCTAACTAAAGAAAAAAAAAAGGTTAACAGGGCATGGGCTTCTTGGGATATTGTAGAAGATAGAATTGAAAAAATCAGAAGAAGAACCGATA